CGCCCACACCGATGAAGATTGGGGACAAAACCAACCGGATGATACCTGGTATAATGGAAAGGTGGATCACATGACCAGGAGTGGGCGGTACGTCAAGCCCCCACACCTTGATCAACCAAAGGCGTCCGGGAAGGACACAGAGGCAGAGAAGAAGAAAGAAAAGTTACTCGAGGAGGAGGCTATACTGAAACAGCTTAAGAAGATACAAGCAGACATCTCCATATGGGGACTGCTTATGGCCTCAAGAGTTCATAGACAGGCTGTCCTTTCTGTAATGGACAGGGCCAAACTTTCAATCGACACCACGCCTGAGCAGCTGGTAGGGCTGGTTTTTCTGGGAGAAACTTTCCCGACGTTGACCTTTACCGACAAGGAACTACTGCCTGAGGGTGTAAATCATAACAAACCTCTCTACATTTCTGTCGAGTGTAGAGAAAAATAGATACCAGTAGTTCTTGTGGACACATAATCTGCTATTAACGTGTGCCCGTCAAGGACAGCATATGCCATCGGATTGAAGCACGCAGACATTGCGCCTACTGCCCAGGTGATTCAGGCATATGACAATACCAGCAGAGAAGTGATGGGGACTGTGCAGATTCGGACTCAGGTTGGTCCAAGACAACAGGATATTGACTTTCATGTTTTGGACGTTCCCTCAACCTTCAATCTACTCCTAGGGTGGTCGTGGCTGCACCAGGTGGAGGCAGTCTCTTCCACCCCGCATCAAATGCTAAAATACCCCCACGAGAAGGGGGTGGCTATAGCTTTTGGGAATTCTTCAATCCATCCACCGCCAGAGGTGTCTACGCCGGTTCTGGAGATCAAGCGTGGCGCGGAGGATGTGTTCCTATCAGGATTTACCCTCGCTGAGGCCTGGGTTGTACCGAACATCTTAGCTATTGACGAAGGGTTGTATGTCAATGCATAGTCTGTGTACCTCATGAACAAGCTCCAGCACATCCCTGGGATAGGATTAGGGAGAAGTGGCCGGAAAGGCGTTACAGTGTCGGCCGAAGTGCCGCACAACCCGCATACCTTTGGTCTAGGCTACTTGCCTACCAAAAAGGACTGGGTGAGGAAAGGCAAAGAGATGGCAAGAAGAGCTAGAGCCAAGCGGGCCGGGAAGTATTATGAGTTGATGCACCGACCTATCTAGGGGACCCTAAACGGACGCTTTGTCCGGTAGGGGGAAGACTTCCCGTTTTGAGGCTTCCCATAACCATGGCTAAACACAGAAAGGCGGCGGTTGCCGAGGTTTGAGATATTCTTTGACTTGCAATTGTCTGGGAATGATGTTGCTGAGGAGTAGGCAGACCCACCAGCTGAGGTTGAGCAATGCAGGGAGGAGGATTCCGAGAGTGCCGAGCTAGAAATGGAGGTAACACTGGCTTGTCTACTTTCAGATCCTCCGATCGTACATGAGTTCTTGGGGGATAACTTCTCCGTGTCCATGATCGGGAATGAAACGGCTGCGCGCTCATCTTCAAACATTATGGATGCATCCATCACACCCTCTTTCATTTGGCAATATGAGGAGGCCTTCTTATCGAGCAGAACTGGGTCAAGTAGTGAGCTGGAATCTGATTCCACTGAGTCTGTGGAGTCGGCATCAGGTTCTAGCTCATCTGAGTCTAAGTTTGGTATTCTTGGGGGTGACAAACCGGATGCCACAGTCCTGTCTAGGTCGTCTTTTTTCATTTTCCTTTGAGTCTGTTGTAACAGAAGAATCAGGCGACTTGGAAGTTATTAATGAGAATTATGTGGTTGGGGCCATTGAGTACTTTTCTGTGCCCTTGATTTATTGCATTAATCAGGACTTTCAAAATTTTGATGAAAACGACGAGGAAGAAATTCCTCCAGTTTTGAAATATTTGCTTGATCAAGAGCAGGAGAGGTTTGTAAAACCGCTGGTTGATGAAATCACCACAATTAATGTGGGTACTGAAAAGGACCCACGGCTAGTCCAGATCGGGTCCACGTTGTCTTCAGAGGAGCGCGAGCGCTTAGTCGCTTTGTTAAAAGATTTCAAAGATGTTTTCACGTGGTCCTACGAAGACATGCTTGGAATCAATCCTGAGATTGTACAGCACCGGATCCCTCTTGAGCCAGAGGCCCGACTTGTTAAGCAGAAGCTCAGAAGGATCCGCCCAGACTGGGCTCTCAAGATCAAAGAAGAGGTCACAAAGCAAATTGATGCAGGCTTCCTGCTGGTATCTGAATACCCAACTTGGTTGGCCAACATAGTTCCGATGCCGAAGAAGGACGGCAAAATTCGGGTATGTGTGGACTTTGGGGATTTGAATAAAGCAAGTCCGAAGGACGACTTTCCTCTACCGCATATCGATGAGTTAGTGGACTTCACTGCGGGGCATGCACTGCTCTGATTCATGGATGGGTTTTCTGGCTACAATCTGATTCTGATGGCACCCGAAGACCGGGAGAAGATAGCTTTTACCACCCCGTGGGGAACCTATTGTTATAGGGTGATGCCGTTTGGGTTGAAAAATGCTGGGGGCTATGTATCAATGGGCTGCGACCACAATTTTGCATGACATGATCCATAAAGAGGTGCAGGTGCATGTGGACGACATGATTGTGAAGTCCAAGGAAAGAGAGGGCCACTACACCGCCTTACAGAAATTTTTCCAAAGGATCAGAGAATATCGGTTGCGGTTGAATCCTCAAAAGTGTACGTTTGGTGTTACAGCAGAGAAAATGCTGGGGTTCTTGATCACACAAAGGGGTATCGAGGTCGACCATTCCAAAATCAAGGCCATCTTAGAAACGCCACCCCCAAGGACTGAAAAGGTGGTGTGAGGCTTTCTAGGTAAAGTGCAATTCATAAGACGGTTTATTGCTAAATTAACCTTGACTTGTGAACCACTCTTTGGTCTCCTAAAGAAAGGAACGAAGTTCCAATGGGACGGCCGATGCCAAGCTGCTTTTGAACAGATTAAGCAATATCTACAGAACCCACCTGTGTTGTCACCGCCTGAGCCGGGGAAACCGTTGATTCTGTATCTTTCAGTGACTGAAACTACAATGGGCTGCATGCTCACACAAGAGTCTGAGGACAAAGTGGAGAGGGCCATCTACTATCTGAGTAAGAAAATGTTGGATTATGTGACCCGCTGCACTCTGCTGGGGAAGGCTTGTCTGGCCTTGGTATAGGCTACCAAGAAGCTGCGGCACTACATGTTAGCTCACTCTGTAATACTGGTTTCGAGATTAGATCCCATCAAATATCTCTTCGATAAACTAGCACTTACGGGTAGGCTAGCCCGTTGGTTGCTTCTGCTTTCTGAATTTGATCTGAAGTATGTGACGCGCAAGTAAGTGAAAGGGAGAGCGGTAGTGGAGTTCCTAGCCGATCACCCAGTTGAAGGGGATGAAGCGGTTGAGTACCTGTTCCCTGACGAGGCCATTCTACATTTCGAAGAAGAGACTTGGACGATGTACTTTGACGGAGCGTCAAATCAATACGGGTATGGGATAGGGGTGTTGCTAATAGCACTCGACAATTCCCGCATACCTCTAGCATTCAAACTCCGGTTCAGAGTATCAAACAATGAGGCAGAATATGAGGCATGTATTGCCGGTTTGGAAGTTGCCCTAGAACTAGGGGCAAAACGGTTGGACGTCATCAGGGACTCGAACCTTGTTGTTTCTCAAGCAAAAGGAGATTGGAAAGTTAAAGAAGAAAAGATGAGAATCTATCACTAGACCTTGGACGTGCTGATTCCTCGGTTTGAGAAACTGAACTTCGCTCATCTATTAAGAGAGAACAACAGGTTTGCAAATTCATCAACAACTCTATCTTCCATGATAAACATTCATTTCGGAGTCCGGATGCGTTCGGTCATCATTGAACAGAAATTTGTGCTGGCCTATGAGCTGATTGCTGCCATAGATGAGGTATAAGATGAGAATCCTTGGTATTACGACGTCTAGAACTTCTTGGAGAAGGAAGCATATCCACCAGGGGAAAATGCCAAAGATAAGAGGGCAATTCGAAGAATGGCTGCTCAGTTCATCGTCTGTGGGCGTAAACTGTACAAGAAGGGTCATCTGGGGATGTATAAGCTGTGTGTTGATGCAGAAGAGTCCAAACGCCTGATGGAGGCCATCCATGGAGGAGAGTGCGGAGGGCACATGAATGGGGTAATGCTAGCCCGGAAGATCCTTAGACAGGGTTATTACTGGTCCACTATGGAGGAGGATTGTATTGGCTTTGTTCGGAGATGCCACATATGTCAGATCCATGCGAACCGCATGAACATTCCGCCGTCGAAGTTGTACAACATGACTTTGCCATGACCCACTACAACAAGTTGGGTCTTGAATGACGAAATTTTTTTGTCTCCAAAGAGCTAATTTCGTCACTATAGATATTTGTGAAGAAATATTTTCGTCACCTGTTTCGTCATTGAATGTTTGTCACTAAAAACCATCGTGACGAAAAATAATTTCGTCACCGATGAATTTACTTCAGTGACGAAATTTTTTGTCACCAATATAACAACATTTTGTCGCCAAAAATTCTCATTTTCGTCCCCAAATAGTTATTCAGTGCCATATTTATAACTTTAGTTGACGAATAAATTTGTCACACATGTTGGTCATTGATGAGGAAATAATTTCGTAACAGTTAGATGTAAAGGTGACGAAATTTTTCGTCTCCAAAAGTCATACATGGGTGACGAAATATATTTCGTCACAAATATATATATACGTGAAAAAATTTTTAGTCACCAAACAACAAAATCAATGAAATGTTTCATATATAAATTACAATAAATTGTCACAAAAAATGTTTATTAGCGACGAATAGTCACTTTGTCATAATAACAAGTACAAATGACGAAAAAAATTTGTCACTGAACTTGTTCCATATTTTGTATTTCAATTTAAATTATTATTTCACAAATATCCCTACTCATATCCCAATAGCCTTTTAAATGTACTAAGAAATCTACTAGCTATTATACACCACTCCACAAAATAATTCACTAAACAATTTATATCATAAATGAAAATATATCCATCAAACAAATTTAATAATAATCCATTAAGTACAATAAAAAAAACCATCATAACAAATTCCAAAATGAACTATCGTGGAGTCTACCAAAAAAAATAACACTCAACTAGGTGTAAAACTAGAAAGTATCAGTTCAGGAAAAAAAATTCAACACTTTGATCTTGATATGCAAGTATATATGCTTCTAATAAACGTCATCAAAAACCAATCTGCAAAGAAAATAAACAAGGAAAACATTAATATATTATGAATTACATCTAAACTCATATATAAATAATTTTATTTTATAAACCAATTTAGTAGAAATGCATATAACAATCCAAAACTTCAAAGAGTTGAGGTCATCCTTGATGATAAAGCAACACAAATAATAGAAGATGCCAAAAGATTGCAGGAATACCATATATCACTATCACTAATGCCAAAATATATTTAATAGCTTGAAAATATAATGTAGCATTGAGATACATTTGATTCATGACAATGGGTCGATGACTTCTTCAATGAGGTAAATTTGATCCGTGGAATTCAACACAAGAACCTTGTAAGACTTTTGGGTGGTACCATTGAAGGTCCAGACCGCCTTGTTTATGAATTTGTACCCAACAAAAGCCTTAATCAAATCTTCTTTGATAAGGAATCATTGTGATTTTTTATTTTTTTATTTATAAACATGCTCATGTTTTTTTTGGCTCTTACTTTGGTTTTTAATTTTGGTTGCTTTTGGCCAAAGATAAAATACTAAATTGTTTTAATTTTTTTCTTATTTTCATCTTTTTGCAATAAAATGGGAGCAATACACATTTTTACATTTCTTCATATATTTAGAAGAACCCATGTATCATTAGATATGTGTAATTGAAGTTAATTGTGTAACTTGCATTACTACACAAATTAAAGGATCACTGAATTCACTCAAAATTGCAATTACAGATGTATTCATGTAATCATATCACATAACAAACCACGCAAACATGCTTTCCAAAAAACTAGACAAACATGCTTATATGTTTTAAGAGTTTCCAAAAAACTCTTAACTAATACTACTTTTACCATCAACTTGTCTATATGAGATTAATCCTACTCCCTGATGGAGTTTCATATTACTATGACCCAAAACTTGTAACTTTTTTTTTTTTTTTTTTTGGTGGCTATATTATAATTGACAAAAGCATATAAAGCAAAATCTGCGATATCCTTGCACCTTCTTTCAATTGTATCTTTAAGTGGCGACACTCTTTTATTCCATGCAGATAAGAACAAGACTCAAATTCTAAGCTGGAAGTAGCAGTTCGACATCATATTGGGAATGGCAAAGGGGCTTGCATATCTCTATAAAGGTTCTTAAGTGAAAATTATCCACAGAGACATCAAAAGCTAGATTAGAGAGACATCAAAAGCTGGGTTACAGAGACATCAATAGCTAGCAAATAATAGCTCTATCCATGTAAATACAAATTGTGTACACAATCAATCTAGCTTAACAACCAGAAGGTCCTTTCTATACGGCAAGGTCCTATTAATCACATCACTAACTTAGAGTAACTCCAACACTGCCTAGAAAAAATACACAAAAAAATAAACACATAGTTTTGTCTCTACTTTGGTTAGTGTGTATTTTCACTAGGGTCATGCTAAGTAAGAAGTAACTAATGAATCTATTTCATTAAATACATCTTGAAACTTGTTAAATCTTAGTTATTAATTAGTCAAACTACTGTGCTTTAATTAGTATATACTAACCAACATGAGAAAAATAAAAAGATAAAACAAGCAAGACTTACCAAAAAGGCAATCTACGAGTTCATGGGATACCTCATCCTCTAACTTCGTCTTTTTGTGCTTGAATTTCATGTTTTTGTGTTGTAATTTCTTCTTTTTGTGACTGAATTTCCTCCTTTTGCTCTTGTATTTCAAGAGAGCTGGCAGAAAAGGAAAACTATATCAATTTTTCACAAAATAGCCAGGAACTGAAGTGTTATGACGAGCATCAATCTGAACACAGTAGAAAGCTACTTAGGAAAGTACAAAAGAAGGGGGGGAAATCATTGAAGCGTGAGAAAATTTACAACTTATTCAAGAACTCAGCAAAAAAATCACAGAAACTACAGCATTCACTATCTATGATAGATAAATGACTCCCGATCTAAGAACTTAAGCCATTCTTGTTAACTGATCGACCTTGATGTCCTGTACATAATCTACTAATACTAAGCATTTCGATGTTTAAATTTATTACCTTTTCACTACTGTCCAGTACCACTGAGACATGATAAAATAGTCATACCTGGAGATGGAATGCAACAATAATATTATGGATAAGGAGTTCATTGTTCGAATTGTTAATATCCCGTGCTTTTGCCCAAGCTTTCATCTGCAATGGATAAAAACACATTGGCATTAATTAGATGTCACTGAACAAGACTCGTGAGAAAATATTTTGGTGTCAAGTTTATGAATTTTGTTCTCCATCCCTCTTGAAATAGAGCTACATACAGAGTACATCTTAAGAGTTTTCTCACAAATAAACTTAATGAAAACATCTTTGACCCTCTTCTATATGAGCATATATTGGATATTTGGTGTATGTACCTTCTCTCTCCCTCTCTCTCTCTCTCTCTTTATTTTTGTACCCAACATAGCAGTGCAACTATCTCCTATTCAGAATCCACTCAATTCCTAGGTAACTGCCCTACATCTAATCCATATGCAGAGGAACTATCACTATCGGAATCTGTAAGTAGTGTATAAGATTCAATTAATAAATGTATTTCACAATCAAACAGAAACCCTTAAAGGGCAGTCGAATTACGGTGAATATAGATATACAAATACTGCATAATAACTAAAACAGATAACATTTACCACTTAAAGAAGAACCAGAGTCACTGCTAGAACTGCTGGAACTACCTGATCCACTAACATTAATCCTCTTATTTCCTGAACTCTCAATTGATTTAGATTCTTTTGGTGCCTGCAATAGCTGGAGCCAGGTTCTGCAATGATATTAAGGTGAATAGTTCATTATCCAACTAATAGTTAAAGAGCCTCTGCAACAGTCATCAAACCTAAATTCAAGTCAGTAATTTACCATGCTTGCATAGGTCCAGTGAGACTCATTTTATATGCACTGTTTACTGTATAAAATACATATCTTTTTAAAAATCTGTAATGAAAACTTTCAAACCTCTAAATAACTTGTGTTGTCCGAAACATTCTGTATAACCCACATGAGGATGGTCAGAACAGCTCCCGATTCGAATTTCCTTTTTTCCTGAATCCTTTAGTCTGTCTTGCCGTCGTTGCCATTGCTTTCGAGTTTAGGAGGAAGAATCGACAAGGAATGACTTCAAATGTTTGAACATCTCTTGCGATTTCTCTACATTGATTGCATGACCTGCATTTTTATGATCACTAGTGTGTGTTCTCACCCAAATGGCTGAAAAAGTGAACGGAACATGATTCAATGAAAATGAATCAAGCCTCTGGCTTTAAAGCAATTCAAAACATTAGAAAATGCAAAAGCCCCACTTGGTTGCCAAGAAGACAAATGATATTAAAACTCGAGAAATCTTGCAAATAAAAAGGGTTACAAGCTGTCATTTTCTTTTCCTCCAACCTCTTGGAAACCAGAGAGGGCCAAAATACAAAACCTTACATCTAAAAAATGTTACTAAAATTATAAAATTCTTTGTATTGACCTTTTTAATCTGTGCGCCAATTCCAATGGAAATATCTGATCTTGATTTCCCCAGATTATTAACATGGGCTACATCATGGAGAAATTACGCTATTACCGAGCCAATCAAACTAGTAACTGAGAAACAAAGCAGGAGCTAAATAATATGGTGACAGACAAAATAAGAGATACAAAAACCTGAGTTATCTTGGGAAGATCAGAGAGTTTTATATCCTTGTGCAATGCTTGGACCAATTCTTTTCTTTCTTCAAGGTATTTTGTACACATCACCTGCCCACACAGACTAATTCACAAAAGCAGTTTCAGGCAAACCAATATAGGGTAAATCCCACTTCCTAGAATCTTACCTTGTGATAGTAAGATATCAACAAATTCACAAATTTAAGACTAGCAACATTACTATGTGTTACAGAGTACAGAGTACAGACTACAAACATATTATTTAGGCAAGCAAAGAAAATTACTCATCAAACATTACAAGAAGGAAATCCTTTATGAAATGTGGCTAAAAACCTAGTCTTGGAATTTACGCGTAAGACTAAACACGAAGATTGTCTAGCAATCAAACCTCATGACTTTCAAAATTTGCAAATAGTAGCAATTTGTGACAATACAGAAGAAATCAATGTTAACCCATAGAATACATTTTTAAAAAAAAAATCAATTTTACAATGTAATGAAGAAGAATTAAAATGCAAGTCTTCGATTTGTGATGGAAATTTTTTCAAACATAACTCAAACCTAGTGAACTAAAATGACCCTTCAACTCTAAAATACCCAACAATATGGCAATGTTTCACACAGGTATTTTATCAAACACAAGGGCTTCTACACCGTCTCCCTCTCCCAACCCTCTTTTGGCTCCCCAACTTCTTCATTCCCCTTAGGAACCCCTATCCCAGTTGGTTACACTTTCTCTTCTGCCTCTTGAAACAGCCCCTCCAACCCTCTACTACCATAGATCTATTGCCTCCTTCCCTCTTATCCACAACCACAAAACTACTCTTTTTCTCCACCACAAATCCAAAATGCCTGCCATTTCCCTCCATACTATAGCACCGCTAGCCCTCCTCTCACACCGCACCTCCATTACACCATTCCATCCCCACCACAGCGCCACCACGTTTTCGAAAACCCTTACCCCACCATTAAACAACTACGAGAGAGAGAGAGAGAGAGGCCATACCTTTGTGTGTTTTGCAAGAGAGGGATGAGACAAAAACTGGAGCACCAAAAAAAAAAAAAGGTGGGGGAGAATCAATAGGGTTTAGGGATGGCAATGGGGTGGCTATTAATACCCCATCCCCATTCCCTTATAATTATTTTTACCCATTCCCCATTCCCCATCCTCTATGGATACTACCCTCTCCATCCCCTAATCGGTATGGAATTTCCCCAACCCAACTTGGCCCTATTTTTTTTTTTTTAACCAAAGCTATATATACATTTAATTTAATTTTTTTTGACTTAACAACAAAATCAAATACACATTAATTAATTAATTAAGAAGTTCATTTTAAAGTAATCGAATATATAATTTTAAGACAATAAAATAAGTTTTTAGTGATTGAAAAAAAAAATTATATAATTGTTTTCATCTGATGGCGCCACATCACGCCACATCAAAACATTTTAAAAACAATAAAAGAAAAAACAAAATCTTACAAGAATCATGTAAAAGGGAGATTTAATATTAAATTAAATCAATAACTCAAATGTAATCAGGCCCAAATTTCTTACAAATTTTTTAGTCGAATTTCATTGACATCTATATTTACAACACACTAATTCAACTAAAAGCAAAAGAAATAAAAAAATAAAAAAATAAAAAAAAAAGTTAAAAGCAACAAAAATTCTAATTCAACAATGCACATTCAACAAAAATTCCAATCCAACACTCTAACAACAGTAGCAACACTCCAGCAACAACAGCATTTCATCAAGACTAATCTGTGCATAAGCCCTGTCAAGATCTGTTTGCACCAAATCTATACTATTAACGTGATAAGGCAGCACTCCCACTTGGTGGTGAAGCATGTTTTTGAAGCTTCGTCACATTTTGTATTCCCAAAAAAGTCCAAAAAAATATATTAATTCATTGTCTGATTTCTTTTTTTTTTCTTTTCAAACCACTTAAGATGAATATGTAACTTGATTGATAGATGGAATTATATCACTAACCATCAAGTCTCTCCCTTTTTTATCTCTCGACTTCCAGTCTCACTATGTATTTAACTCATTATCTCTCTTCTCACACTCTCATACGGTAAGGTAATGTACAGTTAGGATTATTTTTTAATTATAGTATATAAAAACCCAGAATTATAAAAACCAAAAATAGATAAAATCATGCTCACAGTGCAAGAGATTCTCCTAGTACAAAATAGATTCTCCTACTAACAAAATGACTGAATGGAACATAAAGACATTTTCATATTCAAGTTCTAAACATCAGAAAAAAAAATTCCAAAAAATATACCTCATTTAAGTTAAGGTAAAAAACACACCCTCTATCATTCATCTTAACTAGATCAAATCAGTGATGCCATCTAAATGTTCCAACTCAAATCTGACTTGGTGTACCAGAAAAATTAGAATTAAGCAAAGACATTTCACAAAGACAAATGAAGGAAAGATAATAGTAATAGTAATTCTCATTCTAGACCAGATAAGTGATGATAAATATAATGTCTCCCTCACATTTTGGCCATGTTTGATTGGTTAGTCATTTACTAATGAACTCTTCAAAATAAATCAAAAACCCTTGTTCTAATGATAATAGTAATAGTACATCACTAATGCTGAGCTGCTATTTATTACATTTTGAGAACGGGTTCATATGTTAATGGAACAAGTTCTAAATGTCTCAAAAATAGTTGATACAACCATCAGGCACAGTGTTATCCAATGCAAGTACCTCCGAATCAGCCATATGGATACTGGAATTCTAAATATTAGTGTCTCAATTGAAAACTATGTTCCTGATAGTGTTTACACCTAAAATAGCAAAAGAGCTTTAAAAAATAAAAAATAAAAAAATAAAAAAATAAAAAATAAAAAACTAACTGAATGAGAATGTGGCTAAATCAATTACATGTCTACAATCTTGGGAAAAAAATACCCTCACAACTCTCATTATGATCTAAAATCTGTAGTAAAAAAGGTTCTCTTTGAACAAAAGACAATGAAAGAAAATGAAAATGACATGCTTCTGGAAAGATGAG